AATGAAAGAGTTTTAATTTTGGAACAATTTTCGTCCAAGTGGCCCTTTAAGCTTTTGCTTTTGAATTGCAGTTGAATGAGTTACCTTGGTATTTGTGTTAAATAGCGTAGGGTTTCTGATAGTTTCTCGGAGTTCAACTCATCGTTCCTGGATGCCAAGATTGATATGATCGGTCTTCCTTGACGGTCATGTCCACCTTTGGAAGTGAAAGTAAAACGCCTCCAAGTTTTAAAAACATTATCATTTGTAATAAATATATTAGACCAAATGCAAAATTGTGCTAAACGTCCATCAAATTATCACAGTAATTACTCGTCTAATTCTAAAAATTTTCTATCCTCTCAATTAATACGAGTTAATTTGGTAACTGAGTAACTTGGCCGTGACTGTGCTAAATAAATTGACTTATAATTGAAAATTAATAAAAGAAAACTGGTACACAACATACCACAAAGACTAGCTGCATTCCCTCGTAGGTTTTCAATGATTTCCCTCGCCCGAATTCGTCTTTCAGCTGCTACAAATTTATGACAAAAATCGAAGAATTCATGAATTATTATAATCAACAAATCTATAATCAAACAATCGGCCATTTGCTTCTTGATGTACTTACGCTTTCTAGCCCTCTCCGTTCTTCTAGCATCGGTATAAGACGCATATTCTGGTCGATAACTATGAGTTTGGAAAGAAAGCTCCTCAAATCCTGCAAGATCTTCCTCTTTCTTCGAATTCTCGTACTTATGATAAGCCATTTCTATTGCTGGATAGCTTGTACTGCCTCAAGGCGTCTCAAGATCCCGTAACCAGCGTAACATGACCATCTAATGTCGAGGTTAAAAGCGGTCAAACTTGGAAGACTTTTGTAATCGAGCTTAGCATGATTTGCAATGCAAAACCATCGATCTTTTAGGGCACTTTGGTTATGGAATTTTTACTAGTAGTAAATATTTTGAAACGCTTCTGAAAAATTTGATCAACTTCTACCGAAGCGCGCCTAAAATATTCTGGTTTGTTTATTTTAAAGATGGTCAGCGGTCTACATTCATCGCTATTTAAAGAATGCTGTAAATTTGTTTTCAATGAAATTTTGCTAAACTCCTTAGATAATTATTCTTAGATGGGACAAATTCGCTTGTAGTTATTGAGTCCAATGGGTCAGCCATTGGCGCCATATATGAGAGTCTATTTATGCCCGCCGCATAGAACCGAGACGCTCTTAATTATAGCAGTATGTCGAAGACAAAGGCATCGCTGTAATTTTTAAGTGCTAGGAAGTAAGCTCTTTATGTTGGAAAAAGACCAAAAAGAAAGCTTAGTTTGAGGAAAAAAAACTGTCATAGAGTAAAAGGAGTGACAGCATTAACACGGGCAAAGATTGAGGCCCCATGGACGGTAACTTCCTACACCTAAGGACGTGTGGTGGATACATGGGGGGGATTGGGGAAGGAGGAGTTGAATATACCCTTATGCCGTATTCCTATATTCTTTCCAAGTTGTTTCTTTACCATATCCCTTATCTCTCTAATGCCTGGTTCAAATATCCAGTATCCCTATTTTTTCCTCAAATATCCCGTCTACATAACTACGAATAGCAGAGTCCTAGTCATCCACGTTGGTGGTTGTGCTGAGGGTTAATAAATAACCGGTAAAATAAAAAAATGATATTTCGGAAACAGAAAACATTTTAAATAAATCTCAAAGCCTTAAATACGAATTATGGCGCACGAGACAGGATGATGCTGAGAACAACAAATATGGGGACTCTGAGCATTACCGAATCCAACGGAGGGGAAAAGGAGATACGACTATCAGATTTCCTTGTTTGGGACGGGGACGTTTGGGACGGGGACGTTTGGGACGGAACAGAAGCAACCATGGGACTAGAAATAGTTTGCTGCAGATGATTTGGCTATATAATATAAGCTGCAAAGTTTACAATCCCCCTTTATTTACTCGTTGATCCACCCAGACATTCCAAAATATCCGATAAACTTGGGGATTTGTCTTGCCCTCTATCTCCGGGGAAGAAACTATTCAGAACTTTTTTTTTTTTTCATGAAGCGGTGGACGGGAGAAATGGTAATGACCTCAATAAATCTTTCCTTTCCTTTCTCTTTCCATAATTACTTGCAAAAATAAACTGCCAATCGGAAGGGGAGGGGTCCAAGCACACAAAATGTTCAGCGATACGCTTCTCAGGAGTAGCCTTCTCCTCCCCCCCCCCCCCCCCCCCCAAAAAAAAATATGTGCAATAATTACGAGCGGGATGGATGGAGAGACTGAACACTAGAGGAGGCATGATGAAGGTTTTCCCCCTATTTTAGGGGCGTAACCAAGTAGGTTGCATAGGATGCATCAGCAAATATCAGCAAGCATCATTCAAATATTTATATTTTCTTTTAGTTAAACTTTATTTGGATTGAAATCGATGTAACAATTTGTGTATAAGAGACCAAAGTAAATATTACCTACCTACCTTCATACTCGTTTTACCCTTTTTTTCATCTGTAAATTGTAGCATTTTAGATATCGCTCACCCATTATCGGATTTTTTTCCTTCTGCAAATTCTAGGTTGGTTATTGGATCGATCATTCACCTTTATGTTTATTCATTTTGGTTCTACAAATTCTTGGAATGTTATATACCACTTCTCAAGACGGCTGTAATTGTTTCATTAATTAAGTTCCACTTCCATTCCCTGTGCACCTACCCTGCAAGACCCCTGTTTAAGCCCCTGAATTGATCTATTTAAAGTTTATTTACTATGGAAACATGATTTTAGGATTTTTACTTTTTAAATTATTAAACCAGGACCATACATCCAGACATTGATTGCTGAACCGTCGTATGGCAACGCGAAGCATTTACGGCTATACCGGAGATTTCGGCCCCGACACCGCGTCGTCAAAGGAATGCAGCGAGTTAGCGAGGAGTTGCTTCAAATAAGATAAAACGAGGGAAGTTGCTATAAAGAAAAAAACGAGTTGCTGCAAATAAGAAACAAGTTGCTGGAAGTGAGACGAGTTCCTGCTTATCGTCTAATCAAATACCCTCTGAATCCTACTTGCACCCTTGAGATATTGGGTTCCCTGTGCTCCTCTCACGTCCCGCTGACAAGAGAATTGAGTTATGCATGTTAAATTACTCCTTAGATATTGACCTTCTCATCATGTCTCATCTGACTTTTTCACATGCATATATTCACTCAGAAACTAATTACTTACACTATGAAATAAGCGAATATCCTATAAAAATTTGTTTACAAACGTAATTCAGGTCTCTTGAACTTCCGGTATAAGAGCGCATGCATGCGTTCAAAGACTTGCCAAAAATAGAAATCAATGTTCCCGATTTATAATTTCAAATTGATCGGAACTAAACACACAACTCTGTCTTTAAAGCATGATTTTCATTGATTGTATTTCACTTGCGGAAAATTCCCTTGTTCTTCGCCGCAGGCAGGAAGAAACGCAGGATCTGGATACGAGATTGCGCTTCAAGCATCTAAATAAATAAATAAATAAATAAATTGACTTTATTTAACGAGGGTGACATACATTACTGGTGACCCAGTAGTTTCCATTATGGCCCTCCTACGATTAGCAAACTGAAATGAAAGATTAAATGAACATAAAGCAATGATGTTAAGAATCCCAACTGGCAAGGAGGCAAACCAGTTGGCTATTAACAAGCATGGTCGAGAAACTGAATCTGAACTAATCAGGAATCGGAACAAATACAGTCTCAGCTAGTGGCCACAGCGGGACTCGAACCCGGCACCACCGGATTGCGAGACCGACGCTATGACCACTCGACCATGCTGCCTCCTCATCTACGACTTCCTGGTCTAAAAAGCTGCCTGGAATAAGATGACTATCAATTTGTTGCAGTTGATATTCACCTTTTTTACATGTGTTCTCTATACAATGTAATTTTGTATGTTCACTGATGTTCACAAGTCACCAATGTGGTTACCGTTTTTCCTATCTTTACCCATTCTCCTCCCGACAAATAAGTGTGTAGTCTTCCACCCTTTCATCTCAAAGATAATAAAACACTGAGCAGTTGTGTACTAATCCAGAAATGTAGTGAGTGGTGGTGTTGAAGGATAGACTAACGTCCTAAGCTTAGTTTGCATCATTCAAGTAAGTGACCTCTCCACAGTGTTTTTTTTAAACACATCTTCTTCACACGAACGAATATTAAAGCGCGCGCACTTTTCGGCCGATGCACGTACATTTTTGCAATTGCCTGCTTTGTGATATGATTCATTGGTATACTCCTAGTAATATATAAAATGTTACCATTCCTGATACGGTGCTAAGTGCCCCAAATAAATGTTAAGTTTTTTCCCGCCATCGGCAAACCTTGCATAAAAGTAAGCCTTTTTGCTGGTAAATTTGGACATTTGTCCAAGAACTCCACACTCCATTATCACGTTAAATACTTCAGGACTTTGAAAATAACCATCAATGGAAAGGCTCTTGTCATAAACGGATAGTATCTGAAGAGGATGGCAATTATTATGCCTAGTTTGAACTTTTACAATAAACCGTTGCTTGCTCTGTGGATCTGGTCTTGGTCCTTTCCCAATGCCCTTTAAATGTGCACCAAATGTCCTAACCTTGACTGAATCAGAAGAAGTATAGCTCTTGGGTTCCACAAGTACAGAATATTGATCATTCAAAGCGCAACACAATGGTCTGTGTTTGGCCCAGTGTCTTTTTTGACAAGTCGGGTTGCAATATAACGCTATGTTACACCCTGAACATCTTTGAAGATTCTTGGAGCTACGACAAAAGCCACACTCGTTCTGAACTGATTCCATTTTATCTTTTGGGTGAAATAGCATCTCTTTGTTGTTTCTTATTTCGTTGTTTGCAACAACTGGTTGTGTTGTATAAAAGGCAGTCTCTCCTTTTGGGAGATAACAAGGCTTATTACGCTCTGTTCCACCAATAATGCCAGGTACAGAAATAGAAGCATCCTCAAATTGAAGCCAAGGACCATTGTGATCTCGAACAATATTCGAGTTAATGACAATACGGCCGGAAAAGTTGATGCCAATGATTATACCACCACACTTGTTGCTGTAAATATCGTTATTTTCCACGACAGCTGTCGTCAAGGTGTTGGCAAGAATCCCATAAAAACCATTCTCAAATATCTCGTTATTTTCTATTTTCACTTGGCACCTCTCTAAAGAAATTCCAAAAGGCAAGTTGTGGAAAATACGATTTCTCGTTATAAAGATTTCCTGGTCAGTTGTCTGGAGAACAAAGATTCCTTCCCTATTGTTTTCGTGTATTCTGTTGCCAGTAATTTCGCATTTACCAGCAGAAGGACCAAGTAAAATTCCATGAAATCCGTTGGTGTAGACATCATTATCGATTGCAACTAGACGACCCCCTTCACGAGCTTCAAGTCCAGCCTGCCTGTTTTTGTGTACCCGACACGTCTTTACAAATACACTAGAGCTATCTCCATGGCATAGGACACCTCCTCCCCCGCACTGTACAATATCACAGTTTTCTATGTAGCCAGTACCACCTTCAAGGACTTGAACAGTACCAAAGCCCGATATACCAGATACACCAACTCCATATTTCTCTGTACGATCACAAAGCTTACCTCCAGTAAACTGGACGGCAACACATCCAGGTCCACCGTTGCAATCTGGGAAATCTTCACAACTACTAAAACCTCCAGATAATTTGCAATTACACAGACTAAGAGAAGCTTTAGATCGGCAAATTAAACTTCCACTGTCCTTAGAAACCTCTATGCCCTCTCCATAAAAACGACAACCAAAAATGTTGAAAGAAGAAAACTTCAACTTGACACCTTTGCTTAGAGCAACTATTTGAAGGTCTTCATCAATCGTTGCCGAATCAAAATCATAACATCCTTCGTGAAGTAATAATGTCTTATTGGGAATAGACAGCATGAATGCTCCAGCTAGCTGCAGGGTATTATTAATTTCTTCGAAAATCAATCTTGGAAACATCTCTTTAAAATGTTTATCATTTGTGACGGTGGGATCAAAATAGACAGCAAGAGCAGCAGCAGCTCTCATTCTTCCTTTAAACTTTTCTTCGTGTGTTTTAGAAAGCTCATACAAAGCCCATGCTTTCCGCATCAATGCTTTACCATTCCTTTCTTCCAACTTTAAACAATTTTCGCAGTCTTGTAACGCCTTTTCTGGTTTTCCGACTTTTAAATACGAAAGTGCTCGATTGCTATACAATCGAGGATCATCTTTGGTAAACTCCATAGCTTGCGTGTAAATGCGGATGGCCTCTTCGTAGTTCTGTTGTCTTACAGCTTCATTGCCTTTTTCTCTCAAACTGTTGGCCTTTTCTGTATTAAAGTTAGTGGATTCCAACTCTTCTGCAGCATCCTCTTCAGAAATAGTATCTTGTTTCCCCATACAATGCGAAATCAATTTGAATTGAACTGTTTTCAATGGAACTTGAAAGAACGTGAGCCTATTTAGGCTTTCTTGTGACAAAGGTATTTCCATTTTTGTGAAAATCTCTATCTTTAATTCTTGAAATTTCATAGCTTCTACTTTTTGGCGACAAACACTGAGATATAAGGACGCCTCATTCAGCAGTGAAGCTGACTCTTCTGTGTAAAGTACTTCTTGGCGGAACATAGCATCCTTCTGAGAATTGTCAATCAAATAATTCTGTAGAACGGAAGCATGAGCACCAAGTTTTCCCCATAAATGTAATGAAGGGGAATTGTCTTGTCTGAAAACGGAATCGCCTTCAAAACTCTTACAGACTTCAACTGGCGAGCTCGTCTTAGTAAACGCGTAACTCAACATCCTAGAAGCACAAACAAGGACATGCTTTAGGTGTTCTTGACTGATTCTGCTTCGGATCACCTCTTGTACCAGCCGATGAACACAGAAAGACTTTTCTGTGAATGTCTGGAACAGCGAAAACTTGGTAAGCACACTCACTATGTCAGTTACTCCAAAAGAAGATGATAGACAATCTCGAAGGTCTTCATCATCTACTAAGGGTAAGCCTTGGTTAATAACTTCTCGTGGGATGTCATCAGGCGATAGGAACGCAGACACTTGCATGACTAGAGCCGCTGCCCGTCCAATACCATATTCCTCAGACATTCGGGTTACATAATCAAAGTTGAGTTGCCACGTAGTATGCACAGCGATACGGTCCTTTGAAGTGTCTTGAACTGGATAATAAGCTTTGGATCTCTTCAGTGTGTTCAACTTTTTTTTCTTGTATTCATCAAGATATTGTGAGAAGGTAATTTCTTTCCTATTCTTAACAAAGGCGGCTGCTTGGTCCAGGGCTAGAGGGAGAGTTCCCAACTCTAAAACCAGCTCACGAATCACTGTATCATCTCTTGGGTCACTTCTACCAGTTCTAATCTTCATGAACTCCACTCCTTCAGCTTCGGAAAGATTCTTCAACTCAATGAAATTTGTGCCTAAAACGTCAAATATTTCCTCTTCTAAAAGACGCCTTTCTCTCCTAGTGGTAATTAAGATGTCCCCTGCGGCTTGCCGTTTCCAGTGGCCACGCAAAAGTTTCAACATTTCAGTTGAAAGTTCAAGCTCGTCCAGGTTGTCGATCACCAGACACCAGTACTCATTTCTTTTCTGCAACCAATCTAATGTTTTTGACAAAGTTGTTTTAAATTCCTCATCAAAAGTTCCTATTCGTCGAGCCATTTCCCTTACGGAAAGCTCAAATAGCGCATTACTTTCACCTGATATCCAGAACACCCCACCACTGTAGACTTCTTTGTTCTTCCAAATGTGTTCAATAGCAAGCGAGGTTTTGCCAGTCCCACCAAGACCATAAACTATCATCATACTGCATTCAGCATTTTTCTCCTCAAGTGGCTTTGCTAAAGTAGACATCTCGTTAGCACGGCCATGAAAACACGGAATACGATTAGGAGCTTGGAATGTAATAACTGGTTGCTGATGACTTCTGGATTCTATTGCATTTTCCAAATCCTCTATCCTCTGATCCACCCTCGCATACCTTTCTTCTCCTGTGTTAACTCTTTTGACAAGTATTTCTTGGTTTTCTCTAATACCTTCAACTTTGATTTCAAGGTCTTGTTGATCAATCTTCAAAGTTCCCAAATCCTCTGCAACAGCAGATGTTGCTTCGCTAAGCTTGTCTACTCTTTGACCAAATTTGTCATGGGACTGTTTTAAGGACTCTAAAGTCTTATTGACTTCATTTTTGAATTCCTCTATGGCTTCCTGAACGCTTTTCAAGCCGTTTCTTACTAGATTTGTCTCATCTGATTGCTTTTTGTCTTGAATCTTTATTTTTTCACTCAGCACAGCGACCTCAGTTTCGATAAACTTTACCAAGTCTGCGTCTACGATTTTTCCAAGACAAAGATGCAAGCCTGAAAAATTCAAAATTTTACACCCGTTATCGTTCTAGCGCAAGACAGTGTTTTGGCAATCTATCGGAAAATCTGAACTTCTGAATTTGTTGATGAGGATGTTGAACGTTAAGGAACCGTTCATTTTTTACGGGCTTACATGGGGGGTGGGCTGGTTGGATTTTGCAAATTGTAAGCTAAAAAAATGAAAGAATTCTTGTCAAACCGACTTTTTTACGTGGCCCCCTATTAAAGCACGATATTTCTTTCATAAATTTTCTAGTTTTGGGTGGCCCCCTAAAATGCGATATTTTTCACGTGCCCCCTCTAACCGCACCATCCCCC